CTTCAAGGAAAAAATAGGAGATGAAAACAGGAGAACTATTAATCTCTCTGCCTCGGGGAGAAAGGCAAGATACAAAGAGTGATGCAGGTCACGTCTGGATGAGTAAAGGAGAGGCCAGGTCCCAGGCCATTTGTTCATGGACTCTATTCCGTTAAGATGGGAGATTCTCTAGCTGCCCAATCTGTCTATGCCAACATTCTGTCTCCTGGGAGCACCCCTGGCTCACTGTCCCTCAGGGACACCTCTGAGAGGGGTACTGGGGAGGACTCTCTCTCTGAGGGCTGGGCCACCTTAGCAGAGGGCTCAGGATGGTTTTAGAGCTCATGCAATCACAGGCACCTTTGCAAAGCTTAAGAGTTTTCTGTTTGTTAGTTGATTTAGTTTTTAGTTAGTTCTGACAGTTTGTTTTATAACACAGCTCACATGGAACCCTGGCTGAACTCTGACAGCCAGTAATTAGCACCCAAAATTCTGTCCAGGTTCAAACTCTGAATCAGAACCTATCTTAGCCCATTCAGGCTGCTATAACAAAATACTGTAGGCTGAGTAGCTCATATATAACAGAAATGTATTGCCTATGGTTCTGGAGGCTGCAAAGTCCAAAAGCAAGGCACTGGCAGATTCAGAGTCTGGTGAAGGCCTGAGTTCGCCCAGATGGCACCTCATCACTATGTCCTGCCACATTCTCTCGGGGTAGAAGGGGTAAGGCAGCTCTCCAGCTGTATAAGGGCACCAATCCCATTCACAAGGATTAGTCCCCTTCATTTGGTTCTCATGACCTAATCATCTCCCCAGAGGGCCCCATTTCCTAATATCATCACCTTGGGGGTTAGGATTTCAACATGTGGATTTGCAGGGTGGGGGGACATACTTAGACCACAGCAGGACCCCACCCATGGCTTCCATCTCTTAGGGCCAGGCCTGGGGGCTTTGCTTACTTTCTTAGTCCTCAGCATCTCGCTTGGCCTAGACCTCCACAGGGGCAGGGAGGCTGCTTGCTCTGCCCTATTGTGCTGCCCCTGTTCCTAGCCATGCTTCAAGCTGGAGGCACTGGGTAAGGGAAGACAGTGCAAGGCTCTTGGCAAGGGTTGCTGTCATGGGCCAAAGAATCTACCAGCGCTTCAGGTCAAATTTCCCTTTGCTGTTCTTCACCTTGTCCAGAGGTGGACCCCTCCATACTGGAATGGGGCAAGCCTCACTCTCAACACACACAAGGAAGTGGTCCTGCTGGACATACCACTGAGCTCTCCTTTCTTCTCAGGGTGCAACATAGAAAATGCCTGCTACCCACTGGGCATCTGTGCTGAACGGACTGCTATCCAGAAGGCCGTCTCAGAAGGGTACAAGGACTTCAGTGCCATTGCTATTGCTAGGTGAGTGGGAAAGCCAGGTCGCAGTGATATTCATTCATCTCTTCAGCCAGTGTCCCCCTTACACCTCTTATTCATTCATTCACCTGATAGATCTTTATCATGCATTTTTTATGTGCCAGGCACCGTACAGGGCCCTGGGCAGAGTGCTGAGGATAAGGAGATAAGTAAGAAATAGGTCGGGTGCAGTGGTTCATGCCTATAATCCCAGCACTCTGGAAGCTGAGGTGGGTGGATTGCTCCAGCTCAGGAGTTCAAGAGCAGCCTGAGTAAGAGCAAGACTCTCTCTCTACCAAAAGTAGAAAAACTAGCCAGGCACTGTGGCAGGTGCCTGTAGTCCCAGGTACTCGGGAGGATGAGGCAAGAGAATTGCTTGAGCCCAAGAGTTTGAGGTTGCTATAAGTTATGATGTTATGGTGCCAGGGCACTCCCCTTCAGTGAGACTTTGTCTCAGAAAAAATAAAAAGCAAGACAAAAAAATAGAGAAAGAAACGGGTTCTGCCCTCGGTGAAGCTGCAGAACAGGTGATCAACCCCGGCAACTCTCATACCTGTGCCAGGGCCGGTGTGTTTCTGTTCTGCAACGCACAGCAGGATCCCTGCAAGATATAATAGAAAGGCAGGATAGGGACCTAAAGCTGGAGGGACCTCACCTGGTTCAGGCCCCCTTGTCACCACCCCCATTTTATAGCTGAAGACACTGAGGCCCAGAGAAAATGAACAGCTTTCCTGGGAGTTAGCAGCAGAGCAGGGACAAAAGTCAGATGCCAGATCCTCGCTGCCGGGTTCATTGCTCTGCACCAGGCTGTGCCTGGAGGTCAAACCCTTTTCCCTGCTCTCCTTGAGCTGTTGCTGGGACCTTGAAGGAGTCACTGAGCACCACTGAGTCCATCATTTCAGCAAAACTCACCTCCAGGTGCCAGAACGAGGATGCAAAGACAAGCTATGTACCTGGGGTCACAGCCAGGTAAAATAACCAGACTCCAGCCCAGGCTCTGGCTGAGCAGGCCAGGCCAATCAATTCTAAGTTCCCCAAATGTGAACATCCTAGTTCCCAAGTGCTTACTTTCCAAGGGAGCATGATGAATCCTTGTTGGCTCTGGACCCAGACTCAGTGGTTTCAGGATTCAAGCTTGTAAATGAGCTCTTTTACTAATTTGAGCCCCATTAATTTAATGATTTAACTGTGGATTGCCCCTGTGTGTGTACCTCTTTGCCTTGTCTGTGAGAGACAGTTTCTTTAGTGAGTTAATGGCGCAAGAAAAATGACATGGGAAATGTTTAATCCACCCAGAAAGAGGCTGCCTGGCTGACCAAGTGTTGGTCTTCAGGGACATCAGGCAGCCTGGTCACATCCTAGGAAGGAATGATCCCTTTACTCGGTGGAGATAATGCCTTGGAGCACAGCCTGGCACCGTTCTGACTGAAATACAAACAGCAGAATGCATGGGCTTAGAGCAAGGCTGACGGGGCTCACAGAAACAGGCCCATGTGTTGTTTCTGAGATCCTACCCTTTGCCGTGGTCTGGTCCCAAGGTGGTCCTGCTTCCTCAGGGTTTGTTTCTAAGGAAGCAGAGCCCTGGTGCACTGCAGGCGAAGGGGCCTTGCCCTCGAGAGCCTTCCCTGTGACCCACGTCTGTCCTAGCTTCCCTTCGGCTTCAGGAGGAATAAATGAGGCTGTTCTGAGAACATTTTGTGCAGATGAGCAGAGATCAGGATGTGAATTGCATTTTATGGAAAAGAAAAGGAGGGAAATAACTCAATTTTAAAGCTCATCCAAGAAAATAATGATATTCTGGGGGGAAAAGAGGCCAGAGTCAACCAAAGGATAATGATGCTTTGCTCCGTTTAGAATTTTCCAAATGAAAGGCTTTTTTCTCTTGATCATTATTTATCTACCTTTAATCATGACTGAGTATCGCTAGCGATGATTAGCAAATGTCCTTATTTACACAAAACCCGCATTTTTCTGGCACCCGACTGCTCTACTCCGGGTATTTAGCCCACACTAGCTTCCCTGAGAGCCAGAAACACAGTCATTATTGCACTAATGATTTGTTAAATTGAGAGCTGCGGAATCAGAGAATGAATGGGAAGTGCCAGCTTCCTTGTTAACAGCACACTGAGTGTGAACTGTCTTAAGAGCCCCTCTGAGATCTCGGAGGATGCAGCCTTCCATCTGAAAAGGCGCATGTGTCTGCAGAGCCGTTGTAAGCAGAGAGATAACCCTGCCCCACTCAGGTCCTGGCTACAGTTGTCAGAGTCAATAGGTTTCCAGTCTGTCGAGTCTGATAAGCGTGGCCTCAATGTGTGACCAAGGTCAGCACAAACCACAGAAAACTGTAAATACCCAGCAAAAAGCAGGACAGGATGAAGGACAGGGGAGAGAGAGGAAGGGAGAAGCGAGAAGAAATGTCCTGATGCGGCCAGCACATTTGGCTTTCAGGGCTCGTTCTCAGCAGAAATACTGAGTAATGGTTAGCAGCCCCGGCTCCAGGTTAGACGCAAGCCCTGCTCCAAATCCTGCTGCATTATCGACCTCCGGGGTGCAGCTTGGACTCTCTGAGCCCAGCTTTTCCTCTGTAAAATGAAGGAGATGGATCATGAAATGATTTCTAGAAAGCTCCTGTCGCAAAGAATGTAATAAATTAAAACCATCGTTTTAAAGTTATCCTTATTAGGCCAGGCGCAGTGGCTCATGCCTGTAATCCTAGCACTCTGGGAGGCCAAGGTGGGTAGATTGCCTGAGCTCAGGAGTTCAAGACCAGCATTAGCCAGAGAAAG